TGTAAAATCTCATGAAAATTACCTGTATCTTCTGTCTGTCCTACATCAGCACATCGTCTCATCGTAAATTCTTGGTTCAACAGCTAATGTCATGCCTAAATGTTCTGCTGTTTATATGTCTATTTCTTTATTTATCGAAGTTTGTTGAGTATAATTAATCATTAACATGATTAATGTAACCACAGCTGGACAGGATACATACTCGTACAACATTTTTAGTTTCAAATTTGAACCCATTCCATGTATTAATAATAACGACGATCTGATTGGTCGATCGGAAATCCCGGTAATTGAGTTATTCAATGAAATCAGCGGTTATATTTATAGTCTGGTAGAAAAAAATGGCAGCCTCCTTGGATGTAAACATGTGTGTTGAAAAACAACATTATAGACTACAGTTTCACGAATTTTCTGTTCAAATTATGTCAAAACACTTGACATAAGGCGTACAATTGATTGGACTACATTATATGTGAAACGTTTCTATAGATTAAGTTGTACTGTAGTTTTGTCATCTTCGACGGCAACTATTTTACATAAATTCAACACTAGGCTTTCTAAGAAGAAACTTGAAATACTGCCCACAAGATTGTAAAAAAACAGCTTACATCTCGCTCGTCAGATCAACGATGGAATATGGAGCCATAGTATGGGACCCCTACACGGTAACTTACATAAATAAGCTTGAAAGGATACAACGTCAAGCGGCAAGATTTATCACCAGAGATTACAAGTCAAGAGAGGACGGATGTGTCTCCAAAATGCTTGCCCAACTGGAACTACAAGATCTCCAGACAAGACGAACAAGCCAGAAGTTAATATTTATGTACAAAGTGGTTGAGGGACTGGTTCTCGCTATTGAACCAGACGAATTCCTCAAAAAAGCACGTCCAAAAGAGAACCACAACTGTCAAGAAATTCGAAGAATACCACGCAACAAATATTGTGGAAAAGCAAGTAAAAAAATCACTCTTAAGTGTTTTGACATTCCACCAAGCAAAACACCACAATATTCAAACTCATTCTTTGTAAAGACAGTGATCGCGTGGAATCAGCTAGATGACACTGTAGTGTGCGCATCAAGCGTAGAGAGCTTCAAATCTGCTCTCACACCCCGTCAATAAATCAGCGGCGCTCTCTCAAACCGTTGTATTAAAGCCAGTATTGGTATCAACAACGTATTCATACAGATACAGATATGACTCGCGTTCAGGACATGAAAATGATGAAAAATTTATCACACTGACAAAGTTAAGATACCGAAACAGTTTATAGAACAATGTGGAAAATTAAAGCCGTTCACTTTATTTTTCTCAAAAGAACAGTAGACCAGTAACAGTAAATGAACATGAAGAAGTCAAAGGAGAAACAATTATATTATTGTATACATGTAGACTGTAGTGCAGGGCAGTTGCCAGTACGGTCACTTGAAGAAAAAACACGGAGTTACCCTAACAATTGGTACAGACTGAAGATAATTTCTGCAACAGATCTGTTTAAAAACGACCCTTTTAAGGGCAATGCACATTTTTCAAAAAGAATCTTAATTGTTTTTGTCATTTTTGTCGAGCCTGCGACTTTTGTCGCAGAAAGCTCGACATATGGATAGTGATCCGGCTGTGGCGGCGGCGTTAGCTAACTTCTTAAAAGCTTTATATTTTAGAAGGTAGAAGATCTGGATGCTTCATACTTTGTATATGGATGCCTCATGTTACGAAGTTTCCGTCAGTCACATGTCCAATGTCCTTGACCTCATTTTCATGGTTCAGTGACTACTTGAAAAAAAAGTTAAGATTTTTTGTAATGTTAAATTCTCTCTTATTATAAGTAATAGGATAACTATATTTGGTATGTGCGTACCTTGCAAGGTCCTCATGCCCATCAGACAGTTTTCACATGACCTCGACCTCATTTCATGGATCAGTGAACAAGGTTAAGTTTTGGTGGTCAAGTCCATATCTCAGATACTATAAGCAATAGGTCTAGTATATTCGGTGTATGGAAGGACTGTTAGGTGTACATGTCCAACTGGCAGGTGTCATCTGACCTTGACCTCATTTTCATGGTTCAGTGGTTATAGTTAAGTTTTTGTGTTTTGGTCTGTTTTTCTTATACTGTATGCAATAGGTCTACTATATTTGGTGTATGGAATGATTGTAAGGTGTACATGTCTAGCTGGCAGGTGTCATCTGGCCTTGACCTCATTTTCATGGTTCAGTGGTCAAAGGTAAATTTTTGAGTTTTGGTCTTTTTTTCTTATACTGTATGCAATAGGTCTATATTTGGTGTATGGAATGATTGTAAGGCGTACATGTCTAGCTGGCAGGTGTCATCTGGCCTTGACCTCATTTTCATGGTTCAGTGGTCAAAGTTAAGTTTTTGAGTTTTGGTCTTTTTTTCTAATACTATATGCAATAGTTCAACTATATTTGGTGTATGGAAATATTTTATGATCTATATGTCATTCATGCAGGTTTTATTTGACCTTGACCTTATTTTCAAGGTTCATTACTCAGTGTTAAGTTTTTGTGTTTTGGTCTGTTTTTCTTAAACTATAAGCAATAGGTCAACTATATTTGTTGTATGGAAGAATTGTTAGCTGTAAATGCCTGCCTAGCATGGTTCATCTGACCTTGACCTCATTTTCATGGTTCATTGGTCAATGTTTAGTTTACTTGGTTAATGTTAAGTTTATGTGACAGTTGTAATAAAGCTTTATATTTAGGACTATCAACATAATGTCAATGATTCGTAAAGAAGGCGAGACATTTCAGCGTGTGCACTCTTGTTGTATTATAATATTTAATTTCTTTTCAGGCCAGCAAATTATATATTTACAAATTAAATCCATTATATAATAATCATGCACTTATTTGAAAAATTTGAATTAGAAGTGAGCCTTTAAATATCTTAAGTCCAAAATCCCACTGGAAGTATATTTGCATTAAATCAAAAATCCACTGAAATATAAACAATAATATTCCACTGGAAATTAATTGGAAAATCTTTGGAAGTTTCATTAGAAATTTCACTGATTTTCCATTGGAATTACAGTGTGAAAAATATTCCAGATGTTTTGGATGAAACTCTAATGGGATTCCATCAGAATATTTTTTTCCACTGAATACCAGTGTAATTTCACTGGAAATCCAGTGGAATCCTATAGACATTTTCAGTAGGGCAATGTTAAGTTTTCATTGTTAAGTTTTTTTCTTGGATATTTCAAGCAATAGGTCAACTATATTTGGTGTATGGAATGATTGTAAGGTATATGTCTGTCTTGCAGGTATCATCTGACTTTGACCTCATTTTCATGGTTCATTGGTCAATATTAAGTTTTTATGGTTAAGTTTGTTTCTTAGAAACTATAAGCAATATGTCAACTGTATGTAATACATAGATTGCCTGTAAGGTGTACTTGTCTGTCTTTTATGGTTCATCTGACCTTGACCTCATTTTCATCATTCACTGGTCAATGCTACGTTTTCCTCGTTAAGTTTATTTCTTAGAAACTATAAGCAATAGGTCAGTTATATTTCGTGTATGGAATGATTGTGAGGTGTACATGTACATGATGTATTTCTTGTTTGGTTTATCTGACCTTGACCTCATTTTCTTTTATTATCGTAAGTTTATGTGATACTTGTAGTAAAGCTTTATATTTAGGAGTATCAACATTAAATCAATTTTCAGTAAATGAGGCAAGACATTTCAGTGTGTGCACTCTTGTTTTTATAGGAGTTATGCCTGTGTGAACTTAGAATGTTGGCCTAAATATACTGCTAGTAGTCTGTTGTTATTTATGTATTATTGTCATTTTGTTTATTTTCTTTGGTTACATCTTCTGACATCAGACTCGGACTTCTCTTGAACTGAATTTTAATGTGCGTATTGTTATGCGTTTACTTTTCTACATTGGCTAGAGGTATAGGGGGAGGGTTGAGATCTCATAAACATGTTTAACCCCGCCGCATTTTTGCGCCTGTCCCAAGTCAGGAGCCTCTAGCCTTTGTTAGTCTTGTATTATTTTTAATTTTAGTTTCTTGTGTACAATTTGGAGTTTAGTATGGCGTTCATTATCACTGAACTAGTATATATATTTGTTTAGGGGCCAGCTGAAGGACGCCTCCGGGTGCGGGAATTTCTCGCTGCATTGAAGACCTGTTGGTGGCCTTCTGCTGTTGTCTGTTCTGTGGTCGGGTTGTTGTCTCTTTGACACATTCCCCATTTCCATTCTCAATTTTACTGTAAGAGTTTATCATCGCAACTCCTCTGAAACCACACAACAGAATTTCATGAAACTTTGTAGATAGTTAGGACATACTATGTATATGTGCATATGCACAGGAAATTTTTATCAGTTGATTTTTGTAGGAGTTATGAGTTTTAGGAATCGGGTGAGATTTTGTTTGCCCAGTGACAATTTTGGGGTGTGGGGTATGTGAGCGTGCTCACAAAGGTTCTTTGATTCGAGACAATTGTGCACAGACTCTGGCATCATAGCGAGTTGATTCTTCAAGTATATTTTCATAGCTTCTTTCTGTATTTCTATGTGGGTATTAAAGCGACAACCGAAGCACATTTCGTACTACAAATGTACAAACGATCAATGCTTTTACAACACTGTAAAATGACAAAAGAAGGATTCAATTTTGATAATGAGATGTTTATGCTACAATCATGATATAGCAGTTCATATCAAGCTTTTCATTAGTTTTCCTATGCATTGTTCTGATGTTCTCAAAGGAAGCACATGCAGTCATGAAAAAATGAATTTTATTGGTAAATAAATAAAATATAATTTTGGAATTTATCATGACTGTTGTCTGTCAATCAAAACTATAATAACATACATGTAATGCAATTGAATATTAAATATTAACATACAGTGAAAACAGGCACACAAAAAAGTTATATTTGTATACTTAATTAAAGAGAGTAAATTAAGTTATGATCTTCTACTTTATAGAAAAACTCTTTATGAAAAAATATTGTTGCAGGTGATATGGTTCCAACTGAAATAAAATTAATGGCTGATAAAAGATCTATTGATTTGTACCTCAAATTACTTGAGTCAGGCTCTGAGAAAAAGAAAGACATACGTTTAGTAGTAGTTGGAAAAAACGGTGCTGGAAAGACATCATTGATTAAAAGATTGTTCTCTGAAGAGAATACAGATGTAACTAGTACAAATGGAATAGAAATCCACACAATAAAATGCAAAGCAATGTCTGATGATGGCATATGGAATAAATTAGATGGTATGATGCATAAGCTTAAAAACAAATCTTTCTCTATTCTTAAGCAATGTTAAGAAAGTATTTATAATGTTTTTGTTTTCTAGTTAACATAACTTATTATTCAGCAATATTATTTGATTTTTTAGGGGGCTATCTATCAATTTCCAGTTTTCAAAGCATAGGTCTTACCAGATCCAATTCAAGGATACATTTCAATTAATCCAGGTCAAGAATTTTCATAAATAGTTCATCCAGTCAGAAACTATGTGAAGAGATATTTATGGTACAAGTGCAGATCTGGTACATTATAGAAATGGTACCATTAATGTTATAGGCTTTTAAACAGTATCAGAAAAGATGAACAAAATAACTAAAGCTTGATTTGATTTTGTCAAAATATGACCCCAAAAGTTCATTGTTGCATTATTGTTACAACCACATTTGCATCCATATGCATGCGACACATGGTTTGACCTCAGTCAAGATTTTGATTGTGCATGTGCTTATCATATTCAGTTACTTCATCCCCTTTAACCTGTAACACCTGCCTGATTTAAATTTTAATTAAAAAGATGAGGTTGATTTTATCGTTGATATGATATCACACAGAAAAGAGGAATATCATTATAACACTATTTCATGTGTTTTTTTATATTTATCTATTTAAATTGCCTTTTTGTCACATGCCTTCTTTAAATAGAGCTTATGTTGACGGATAATTAGAAGTTTTCCAGTCGTAAAATTGTTGATACTTCATGAAAATTGTTCACCTTTTCTATTGTTTTCTGTGGACTTTTTGTACTACTGATATACTTTTAAATATGGTATATACGCGTATAAATCAATTCTGAAAGTTCCAAAATCAATACAGTTTATGTGGATTTGGTATCTAATGCTGTTTTAACATGTGAAGACATGGATACAAAATGTGTCATGATTGCTCATGAGACAGCTTTCCACCCAAGACCAAAGGATGAGGGTGAAAACAATTACAACTCACTGTTTGCCTTCAAAATTATATATTAACCACTCTGTCTCATAGTGATTAAAACAGTTTTATTTTCTAAGGTAATATAATGATTCTTAATGCATGCTTTTTTTATAATTTTGGGGAATATTGATATTATCATCAATAGTAGTTTGAAACTTTATTGAGCAAAATATTGATAGTATTAAGGTATGTGTAGAATATGCATCAAGTTTTGTGGTTTTCATCAAATCTGTTATATCAATATTACAACCAACTAAAGAAGCTCCCTTTTCAATTGTCATAACTGTACAAGTAAAAATAAAATTGAGAATGGAAATGGGGAATGTGTCAAAGAGACAACCCAACCATAGAGCAGACAACAGCCGAATGCCACCAATGGGTCTTCAATGCAGCGAGAAACTCCCGCACCCGATGGCGTCCCTCAACTGGCCCCTAAACAAATATGTGTATTTATACTGGATAATTAATGGTTGAACAAATAATTGGATGGCAAAGTTTACTGTGTTACTGTTAATTGCTGATTTTATGATGTGATCTAACTTAACATTTATCACATTTCTTTAATATTATTGTAATTTGATATAAATAATAGGAAACAATGAAGAAAATGAAATTCATGCAAGACTTTTGAAACAATACAAAGGAACAATTGAAGCATCAGTAGAAGAAGGAACACATAAAGCTGTTAAGGAAACCACACCATCAACAAGTTTTGATGAATCAGAGACAGTAACCCAGCAGCCTAAAAAAAGAAAACTTCAAGTAACCACTGAATCTCAAGTTGAACCTCCAGTAACCTTGCAACAACGAAATCAAGCATTAGAACAGGCAAAAATGGATATTGAAGCCATGCTTAAATATAATGTTGATTTACATGACAGAGAGGAGTATGCCACATTATTATTGTGGGATTTTGCAGGAGATGAAGAATTTTACCACACACATCAAACTTTTTTATCACAAGATGCAATTTATCTTGTCGTAACAAAACTCAATGAGGCTGACGACAAAAAAGCAAAAGGTAATATATCATATAGATCAATAAGCAGGAATGAAAATAATAGTTTTATTTTATTTTTATGCCCCACCTAGGGGCATTATGTTTTTTGGTCTTTGAGTCTGTTCGTCCATCGTTCCGTCCGTCAGTCTGTCCTGCTTCAGTTAAAGTTTTTGGCCAAGTTAGTTTTTGATGAAGTTGAAGTCCAATCAACTTGAACAACACATGTTCCCTATGATCTGATCTTTATAATTTTAATACCAAATAAGAGTTTTGACCCCAATTTCACGGTACACTGAACATAGAAAATGATAGTGATGTGGGCATCCGTGTACTATGGACACATTCTTGTTTCTTTATAGCTTAGAACACACATTATTGTCAAGAATTATGTATGACCAAAAAAAAAAGATGTCTAACAATCATCCAGTGAAATAATAGATTTTATTTACCGCTGCCTGTGGAATGTTAGTATGATAAGCTCAGTAATCAGTGCTTCGGTAGTGACATCATTTATCACATTACTAGCTACAAATCTCCTCGAATAAATTAAGAAGTTATTAAGAAACTAAGGTTTAAACTCCCTCATGCACATTTGAACATATGTGGATGTTGCTACTCTTTCTGGTTGCGTGTACATTTCTTCTTTATGCAATGGATGATATATATGTGTTGTTTCAAATAACTGTCATTTTGTAGTACTAGTATTTGATGAAAAGCATATATCTAGCAAGGTCTTTTTGTTTTGTGCAATACTTTGCAATTCCATCCAGACTCAAAATTAACTTGCTATTGAGGTTTAAAGTAACAAAAATATATTGCATATTTAGATAGAAAGTTATATGCTCTGGTAGGCAATGAAAAAACCTGCGGTAAAATATAGTTAATTTTTGTCAAGCCTTCGACTTTTAATAACGAAATAATTTTAATAACGTTCTTAAACTATCCTGGATTTCTACCAAACTTGGACAGAAGCTTGTTTATGATCATAAGATAGTATCCAGAATTAAATTTTGTAAAAAAAAAAATCCAATTTTTCCGTATTTAACTTATAAATGGACTTAGTTTTTCTGCCAGGAAACATTACATTCACTCTGTGGTTAAAGTTTTTAAAATTTTAATAACTTTCTTAAACTATCCTGGATTTGTACCAAACTTGGACAGAAGCTTGTTTATGATCATAAGATAGTATCCAGAATTAAATTTTGTAAAAAAAAAAATCCTGTTTTTTCATATTTTACTTATAAATGGACTTAGTTTTTCTGCCAGTTAACATGACATTCACTCTGTGGTTAAAGTTTTTAAAATTTTAATAACTTTCTTAAACTATCCTGGATTTGTACCTAACTTGGACAGAAGCTTGTTTATGATCATGAGATAGTATCCAGAAGTAAATTTGTAAAAAATAAAATTCCATTTTTTCCGTATTCAACTTATAAATGGACTTAGTTTTTCTGTCAGTTAACATTACATTCACTCTGTGGCTAAAGTTTTTAAAATTTTAATAACTTAAACTATCCTGGATTTGTACCAAACTTGGTCAGAAGCTTGTTTATGATCAAAAGCTAGTATCTAGAAGGAAATTTTAAAACATTTTATACCTGTTTATCCGTATTTTACTTATAAATGGACTTAGTTTTTCTTCCAGTTAACATATATACATACAGTCTGCAGTTAAAGATTTAAAACATTTATTAGATTCATAAACTATCCTGGATTTTTACCAAATTGGGACAGAAGCTTCTTACAATCAAAAGATTGTATCGAAAGTAATATTGTTATTATTTTTTTTCCTCATTTTTGTTGAGCCTGCGATTAACAGCAAAAGTAGGCGAGACACTGGGTTCCTTGGAACCCTTACGAATTTTTTTAAAAAGGTACGATAATGATTTCTTTCAATACAACTATTTAATGTAATTCATGACAATTTATTATGTTTCCATAGCATAATTAATATTTTGCTAAGATATTTCTGACTAAAAACTGACTCATAATTATAACAAGCATTCTTTTAGTATTAATTAACCAATACAATGTCCCAGACAGAAAGTTACAAGCAAACTTTTGCATATAGAAAGTAGAGAAATTCTTCATTTTCTAAGACCAAACGCTATAACTCTTGAATAAAACCTTTGAGTCCAAACAGAAGTTTTACTGCAATGGCTGCAATAGAATTAGAACTAATTGGAGATATCTGAAGCAGTTTAAAGAAAATGTCTAAAACCTTTGAAAAAATGAAATATCCTAACTCATAAAGAGAGATGGAAGATACCAATCATAATTAGTGGAAGACAAACAAACGATGCTTTGGCTAAAAAAAAACGTCGAAAAGACAAACAACAGTCTACAAAACACTGCGTAGAAAACTACAGACTGAACAACATTAAAAACAAGGGCTGGCATCATGTGCTCTTAAGGTGGCTAACATATTTTAACGCATGTTACTAACGACGAGCGCCTTGGAAACGGTCGCTTTGAGGGGTTTTCTCAAAAATAGTTTTGACGACATTGGAACGCGGGCGTGAATGAAAGCACCCCTTCCCGATGTCAACAACCCATGCAAAACGTTCTACAAAAGCCACAAAACAGGAAATACGTACGGTCAGGACTACAGAGTGGTTTGTTCATTTTTCACATAAAAAGGAAAGAATTATACATGATATATTAAAGCATAACATTAAAAAAAAGAAAATATAAATATTGACTTGTACGACGGTATCTGGTGCGTTCGCTCCAAAAACACATTCTCATCCTACACCTTAGCCCCTTGGATGCGTTCACACTCTATTTTCATTTAAATACTGGTTGAATATATCAAAAGATGTCTTTTAGATGTATTAGTATATATCTGAAAATATTTTGCCAATGACGCAATGTTTAACCGTAAACAAAGGATAGCGATGTAAACAACTGCATGCATGTCACCTTTCGGCTTTCAAAAACAAGTAAAACCCATATACATGTAGTATGCTATAGTATAAAGGCATCGGGGTTCATCTGCACGCTATAAATAATAAATAAATAAAAAATAATAAATAAGCTTTATTTAGAGTTGGCAAAGTATACAAACAGAGTCAACATAATTAATTAATTAATTAATGTTCCTTACAACTGATCATCAATAAGCTCTAATGAGCTTTTAACCGTTTTATCCGTTTGGCGTTTTATAACATTTTGTTACTGTCATAAATCTCTTTTTTTACTTGAAATATCTTCATTTCCAAGTATTGGTAGGATCTTATTCCGGAGTATGTGAAATATTTTCCCACTGCAAAATTTTGATAATATATATAGTTACGTATTTTTTATTTGCCAAAAATTTTTGAACATAACAATTCCGGAGTATGGGAAATATTTTCCCACTGCAAAATTTTGATAATATATATAGTTACGTATTTTTTATTTGCCCAAAATTTTTGAACATAACAATTCCGGTGTATGGGAAATAATTTAACACTGCAAAATTTTGATAATAGTAAAGTATTTTTTATTTTCCAAAATTTTTTTTGGACATTACAATTTTCAAACAAAGACTAAATACTTGACAGTCACACATAACATTTGTATTTAAAGATTTATATACTTTATCAAATAATAGGCACGAAAATATCTAACAAATTTTCTCGTATCATGATTCTATGAAATTTGGAACACTAGTACTATCACATGAGACCTCGGGGCCAATGTTTTCTATTTATAATATTTTCCTTTTACTTATTTTGCTATTTGTTAATTTTCTATTTTCTGTTGTATCTATCAATATGCCAACAGAGTTCGCATTAAAAAAAAAAGAAAGAGGAAATATCAGCGTAAAAACTAAAATAATTGATTAAGAATGAGTTATTATAATAGACTAACGGAACTCGAGCAACACATTTTTTGTTTTACGCAGAAAAAAACCCAGACATTTCAATAATTTGCAGTTTTCAACCTTTGATCATGTAGATGAAAATTGGTCAATAGCAACCGGGACCTTACTAGTATTGGTGAAATTGGCAAACTTTAACTTCTGTCTTACTTTTTGACATGCGTTTTTTTCAAAAGGGAAGCTAATAAGGAAAGTTCTTGATTTAAAAATATTAAAGTGGAGTGTGTCATTGCGGCAAGAAATATGCATGACAACTTTTTTAATGATGTGTGAACACTGGTTTGACCCACCTGCTAGCTGCAAAGAAACGTAATTATCGGCCTATGATGATAATATGGAGATGCAATTTTTTTTAATATTGACTTTTAAATTTGAACTTTGGTGGCTAGTTGTCTCATTGGCAATCATACCACATCTCCTTATTTTCATATCGTAGGGTATAGAAATATGACTTCCCTAATCTGACAGATAATCCCTTGCTATGACAGGGTGTTCATACAGCTGGATGTATAAATACCTCCGGGGGGGTAGGAGGGGGCACTTCAATACTTAATTGATAGGGGGTGCCGCTGGGGCCCACCTTTTTCAAAAATTTATATTTCAAAAATGTATACCTTTTCATATATTGCGTAGGTAAAAATGTAACCTTTTCCCTATAGTGCTTGGGTTTCATGTAGTGTAATGTAAGACTAGAATACCAAAGTGTTAAAAGAGAAAATTTGGTTGATAAAATCACACCCGGGAACACCAAGAAAGATGACAGACGAAGAAGTTATGGAAACTTTATTGACCTTTTCATATATTTTTGATAGTTTTCCCCGACCTTTTCACATATTTTCAAGCTTGAAAAGGTGACCTATTCCAGCGGCACGTCCCATCACCTTGAATATAGGAAGTGCCCCCTCCCCACCCCCACCCGAGATAAATACGCAGCCTTGTATGGTAAAAAGGAGGAATTTTGTCCGTACCAAACATGCATTGCCCATTCATTTTCTAGCGGCAGTCTATATAGTTTTTGTGTTAACAAGAGTGCACAAGCTGAAATGTCTCACCTGCTTTACTAATCATCATTCATGATTGGTTTTATGTTGATATTCCTAAAGATAAAGTTTCACTACAAGTATCAGAAAAAAATAATATTATCAATGATCATGAA